GTTAAAACAAAGGGAAGGGCTGATGGTCTCCGGCTGGTCTCTTGGTGCTTTTGACAAAATAAAACAAACAAAATAAAAGGGTGGATTGATCGGCAAGCCCAGCCTGGGATGAAGAGAAGAAAGTCGAGAAAACCTTTGCTTGATGCTGGTGCAGCTGCCCTGGGGCAAGAATAAACTCCCGTGGCAGCGTGACAACATGCTGACGTTGGCACCCGCCAGAGGCAGCCAGCCGAAGTCGCAGCTGCACTGGCCAAATGAGCCTGGGGACCTCAGGGGGCTGAGACCCATGGCTGTAGCAGGCTGCGGTGCTCTGTAGGCGGTTTATTGAAACAGGGCTGTGGGCCTCCTCCTACCCGCCCGGGCTGGGTCTCAGAACCGTCAGAAGTGCAGGTGGCGTGTCCCGCTGAACAGCCCTCGCTGTCCCCAGGATGGAAGGGGAGCTCATCAGAGAGCCCCGGGCAGCCAAGGGAGGCCTGGAGAGGATGGAGCAGGTGAGACTGAGCTAAGAACAGGGAGCTCGGGGGAGGGCTGAATGGACGAACTTCCTACCCTGGGATTAGCATCATCTTCAGATCTCCTGGCTCCTAAGAAAGGCTTTGCCACCTTCAAAAAGCCAGGGTTGACATGTCATAAAGGCATTTGATGGAACTAGAATCAATTTGGGCGCAACTAAATTTAGAGTGACTAGGATGAAGAATGGATGGGAAGGGGTCCTGTGAAATACTCAGGCGATAAGTAACAAGGGTAGAGGGCGGGGCATCAATAATCAAAATGAAAGAGAACTGAAGCAGCCAGTACCTGAACACACCATCCCTGTGAAGTGAAATGTCCCCCTAGATATATCCCAGGTCGGAGGCAAAACCCCCAGATTGAAGGCCTCTGCAGCGAGGGTGTGTTCCAGAGGCAAAGCCCTCGTGAAAAGTCCGAGACAACAGACTGAAAACAAATGGTCACTTGAGATGTGTCCAACTCAGGACACGCCAGACCTATACATGAGATGCCTGTTTTAGGAATAACAGAAGAATTCAGCTTCTTAGTGCATCCGAGCAAATTCCCAGCTGTTGTTTTACTCTTTTAGAATTTCTAAAAAAGAAATGATTCTCTCTGTCATCCAGATATTAGCTCTGGCTTGCTTCCCGCAGAGGCACGGATGTCTCATTCAAGGAGCTCTGACTCGTTTGTGAGGACAGGTTCCTGTCAGGATCCGAGAGGGATGCAGGCAGACTGCGGCATCCATGCGCCCACAGCAGGTGGCCCCTTGTTGCACCTCGATTGGCCTCCACTCTCCGAACTCCCCGAGGTCAGTGCAGACGGGCCCTTCTGCTGTGACCCTGCCTGGGCCACTTGTCACGTACTCTTGTCTGATGCCACTGCTTTTGGTCTTCCTTGAAAGGATGGGTGTCCCATGGTCTCCTTTGCTGTATCAAAGAGCAGAAGCAACAAAGACCACAGGGGCATGAATTCGGGAGCTCGAGAACAGCGCCGAAGGAGGACTAGAAAATGTGAATTCACTGAAGCAGGCCCGTACTGGCCCAGGGAGACTCGAATAAGCAGTCCATGCCTGACTGCAGGAATGAAAACGTCTTCTTTGAAGAGACAGCTCCTCCGAGGACACCCTTTTGTAAATAATAACAGCAGGAATACATTTCTGCTGGATTCTAAGAAAAGAATGTGCTAATTATCTTAACTCCCATCTCCTCTCCGGAGCTCTTTCCACTGACTTTGAAATGCTTCTGCTCCCCCACCTCCCTAGTTCAGCAGATGGAGTGTTGGGGAGTGTCTGGTTTGGAGGACAAAGAGGCAGGTGCGAAGTGGGAGCGGATGGGAAGGGCACCGTCCTTGGAGCGTACGCAGAGCAGGATCAACCTCGGAACAGACCAAACCGAGGGCCACAGCCGCTCTGGAGGGACCCTGACCCGGATCTGACGAACGCAGACACACGGCTTCTAAGACATCTTTAACTACAAGATAAACAATTATTTGCGCGTGTGTGTGTGGTGGTGTTGTTTTTGTTTTTTTAATTCATTTTAATGGAAACCACACTCCTATCACACATTGGATACAATTTGCTACATACTCGATGAAAAATAACCTATGTTGTTCTCAACTTACATGTTTTCTACTAGAGGCTTGGAAAAATTCAGATATGGAAAAATAAAGATTCAGGTGGCGTTCTGAATTCCCTCTCTTTCTTGTGCATTTCTTCCTTCGTGTGCTCTGTTACAAAGATACACAAACACAGACCGGCCACAGACAGTCGACACCGAAGTGGAATGAATGTGCTTCTAATTGGTTTGGCAGACTGCCTTTCTTTTCTCTCTGAAATAAGTTGGGCAGGGCTAGGCTTGATCTGAGAGTCCTGGGCTACATGAACAGACATTACTGCTTTTGTTTTTCAAAGTCAGCTCCAATGGGATGCTTTTTGCAAGGGGCCCACACCTCAGCAGATAGCCCTTGTGTTGGGTGGTTCCCTAAACGCAGGGACTGCAAGACAAGAGGTAGTGAATAACTTTTGCTTTTAGCATTGCAAAGGCAAGTCAGACAGGTAAAAGGTGTAAGTCACTTGCCTGCTCCAGTCCTGGGGCAAGTGATGGTGTGTCAGGGCCACCAAGTTAAACTGAGATCACACCGAAGGGCAGAAACACTTGCTTGGCAGGATTTTATAAGACTCTCTCGAATGTGTTGTCACTGAAAACCCTCCCCCACCCCCCGTGATTTAATCAGCAATTTAGTTCCAAATTGAGGATTTGGTAACTCGACTATGCTTCTATCGCTGACGAAAAATGAGATCTTCGTTGGTGATAGATGAAGCTTTTCAAAATTTAATTTGTGTGTTGTACATCCATGCGTTCACCGAAGGATCCCTTGTTAGCGCTGACAACTCCCATTTCCTCTTGGTCATCTGAAGCTAATTAGAGCTGCTGTTTACCGCAGAAGGAATCAATAGCTTTCCACAGTAGATCACATCGAGTCAGACCTATGTGCAATTAGTCCAGCGTGGATACACAGGGATATCTTAATCACGACAAAATATGCTTCGGAAGAGCTGTGCTTTCATAGATGACGGGGCTTCCAAATATTTCGACACAGCTAATGGTTTTATCTAAAGTCAGTCTCTCAGAAACCTTTCACTGATCAAATTTGTTTGATGAATTTCTCTTGAAACCATTTTGAAGTGAACAAAGTTGGTACTAAGTATTATCCATTTGTGTTTATTAACGTTTGGATATAAATGCACTTTCAAACACCCATAGCGCTGAAAGACTACGCCTTCATCTCGGGATGAATGGATTTTCCACCCCGGTAATGTGACTACTTCTTACAAGGCAAACATCAGCAGGCAGAGGGGATCAGTACGACATGGGCACCACGGGTACCCTGCTGCAGCCCCTCTACTGATGTGACGAGAAAGGCAATGTCCCCAGCACTCTACAGAAGTGGGGTCTCCTCTCCTCTCTCTGCTTCTGGAAGAACATGGCTTCCAGCACCCGGTCACTTTCGATTCCGAATCTCTCCCTTTCAACCAGATTCCAAGGTGCACTTTAGGGTCTACTGAAGGAAGGGGACGATGGAAGATGATATTCTGTTCACCAGCCAGATGCCCCAAACCCCGAGTCCTGTCCTGTCCTGTGTATCTGTGCCCAGCAGGCTGCGGACCAGTGTTGACCTTGAACCACACACCCTTCCTTGCTGCCACGTCGGTCGTGGTCTCTCACGGAGGATGCAGGACCAGACGCACGCCGACTCCTGATGACCTTCAGACCAAACTGTGCTCAAGCGCGGCCAAGCCACTGCAGTCAGGAGAAAGACGACCTGGAGCCTGGCACGGATCTGCTTCGGAAGAGAGGCAGCACGTCCCCGTCCCCGGTCCCAGTCAAGGCCACGTGAACACAAAGTACTGGGTTGTGTCCGTGGCAAGGGCACCGTTAGCCACGGCGGGACATTTACGAGTGGCCACGGGTTTCCACGCAGGTCTGCACGCTTGCATTTCAAGCGATGAAAACAGACAGCGCTTGGCTGCTCCGTCTCCGCTGCCCGTCCACATGACGCGCCGCAGGGCCCTCTGCTCAGCACGGGGCTCCTCCGAGTCTGCTTCTGCGGCTGGACCGGGCGGTCAGTACCGGAGCTAACACTGCGTAGGAGGGGAGAACAAGCTCCGCGTATTCGGTATGAAACCATCAGTAAAAAATGGAGACGATATCATGACTTTCAAAATATAGAAAGCCAGGGCTTGAAATCAGTTGGTAGTAAATTTCTTTTCTACATAGACCCTCATACATGTAAAGAGCATTATCAGAGAGATGCGTGAGCTGGGTTGGACTTGTTCGTGGAGGGCTTCTCACCTGGCTAAGGCTCAGGACAGTGTCGCCGGATGACCGAGGCCCCGCGCTCACTCTGTTTCCGCTGGAAGGCAGACACTCCCCCTGGACGGGACCAGTGCTCCTGGTTTTGTAGGAGAGTGCAGAACTGTCTACAGAACACAAGCATCGGCGTGGGTAGGCGAGCACACAGGAAGGTGAACACTGAGAAGCTTGTTTGCACAGAGTCCATCAGGAAGGAGCCTCTTGATGAGAATCTTTGATTCACGACCACAGAGCTTGTTAGGCTGCGGTCACATCATCAGAAATCAAAGCCACTGCATGACATGTGGAAGATTCTTGAGCAATACTAACTCCTTTGCTAGCTAGTAAAGGCCAGACTTAAATTGTTAACATCACCATCCTCCTCCTCCTCCTCATGAAAAACACGCCCCGGTTAGCTTTGCAGCCACATTCAAAACTGTCCCTTCACAATACAAGACCCCGAAGCGTTCTGAGTTTGGAATGTGGCACTGCATCGGGTATCCCACAGAAGCCCTAAGGATCACAAGAAGCTTTCTTAAAAAAAAAAAAAGAGAAAAAGTTTCAGTTGTATGAAACTGTTTTAGCAATGTCTCAACTGAGTGCCTAAAACTGGAATTTCAGATATACAAGAGGACAGGAAACAGATAACTTGGTTTGTTTTGTTGTTTGTCTTTTTACATGTCCATGTTTTTGAAATGCAGCTACAATGTTTCTGCCAAACACAAAGATAACAGGGTGGACAGGGCGGTTACCACCAGAACCAGCCGTGGACTCAGACCGCAGCTTGGAGGAGCAGCCATTGATTTTGTGGTTATGTGGCTAGAAGCACCGGCGAGACCATCCTTTTTGTAATCGTGCTGTAAGAAAGAATGTTTTCATTACCGTCCACCGCATGTATTCGTTCTATCACAGTGTGTTTTAACCACACATCTTTCTCTCTCCCACCATTCAACCCCTAACGAGCTCTCTCTCTCACCAAAGCTGACCCAGGAGTTTACCAACTCACTGGCTCGTGGTTTTACGGGAAGCATCATGCATCTGGGTGAGAACTAGACACTTTGATACACTGTCTGCTCACCATTTTCTTGCTCCTGTTACAGATTTTAAAACCCACTTGGGGGGGAATGTGAACTGCCAATCCCCTCTCCCCACTGCTCAGATCCTCCGGTGGCAACACGGAGCCTCTCTCCTCTGGGCACCACTGACTGGGGAGGGACGCCGGTTGTCCTCCGCCACCATGGAAGGAGGACAGGAAGAATCACCTGAGAAAACCTGCCCAGGCCAATACCAGTCTATGTAGACGGGGATCGCAAATCGCTTCAGAGACCAGCTCAGCAGGCGATGGTGACCGATCCCTCCACTGGCCATTCAACCCTGGATTTTATACATGGAGCCTGCCTTGCTGGCCAGGAGAGCCCAAGCCAGAACCCAGGCTGCTGGGCTCCCAGGGGCACAGCTGTCCCTCCCTAGGATGCGTCATGTGAACCCCCTCCAGCCCCCACTCAATCCCACTGTGCTGCATCTTGCCACCGTGAGCTGTGATCATGACAGAACCATCCGTCTCCTCGCCTGTAAATTGGGGATAGTAACGTAGCCTGCCCCAGATACCTCTGGGTTGCTATGGCAATGAACGGAACCGTAGATAGGACATCCGGTAGGCAGTGAGAGTAGTTTTCTGCCGGATGATGGTGTGTGACTGTCATTGGGACTGTGGTATTTCACGCTGGGTTCAGTTCTGAGATGAGCCTGGGCCCATACTTAGTTCTAACTTTGTGCTCTGGGAGCCGATGACTGTACCTTGCTCCAAAGCCAGAGTAACAGGGTGGGGCAGGGGGGTGCGGGGGGGGGCCTTACATTTTTCCTGGACCACAAACCTTTTTGTCTTCAAGCTCATCACATCATACCCTCCCCAGGGGCCCAAAGGCTCTGTCTCTACAGTCAACGAGACCCAGAAAGAAACACAACTTACATCAGACAGACAGAGGTGTGTGTTGCCCGACACGTTGGATTTCAGCTTCTGTGCCTGGGGAGAGAGAAACACACACATAAAATCACTCCTACATAATATTAAAGAGTAATTACTGATGATCCATTAATTAACCCTCTAGGGCAGGGCCACTGAAAAATATGTGAGCACCATAAATAATTTAAAATTGTCTTGTAACCACAGAAGTAAATAGATAACAGGTGAAGTTAATTTTAATAACGCATTTTATGTAATCCAATATTTGCCATCTAAACACGTAATCAATATAAAAATTGAGATACTTTACATTCTTTATAAAAACTTTTTTTTTATTAATTATAGAGAGAAAGATGGAAACATAGATGAGAGAGAACATCAACTGGCCGCCTCCTGCATGCCCCCCATCTGGGGATTTGGCCTACAACCTGGGCATGTGCCCTGACCGGGAATTGAACCGGTGACCTCTTGGTGCATGGGTCGACACTCAACCACTGAGCCACACTGGCGGGGCAAGATACTTTACATTCTTTTTTCCCCATATCACGTCTTCAAAACATGACACAGCACGTCTCACTTCAGACCTGCCCCGTTTCAAAGACTCAGTAGCTACCTTGGGCTCTTAGAGGCCACACAAGATGAGGTTACAAAAGACAAAGTTTTAAAGTCATATATATTTTGAACTCATTTACGTTTCTGAATGTTAATGTCTGGGAAGTGACTTCAAGGTAAAAATGCTGCAATAAAAATCCCCAGTTAGTAGTAACATAGAGATAGGTGCTCCTGAAGGGTGTCTGCTCATCTGTCTGTTCATAGCTCCAGTCAACACTTCCCGAGCTGTTTCCCAGTGCTGGGCATGTGGTGATATGAACAAAGGGATGAGTCCCTTGGCCAGGGGGTTGCCCTCCAGTGAGTAGACCACTCACTGCTTGGGAGCTAAGGCACAGGACAGGAACTCTTTCGGACGGGACCCCTCGAGGAGTCGTGCGGGGCATCACAGACCCCCGATCCAGCACTAAAATTCAATTGCGAGGGGGCCGAGCTGTGAGAGCTTTAGTTCCCCAGTTCCTCCCAACAAGAACAGGTCTCCACTGGCTTCCGCCCGAGAACTGAGTTGAAGGAAAGGTTCCATTGCTCAAACAACTGCAATGAAAACCACTGACCCAGGGAAGCCCTCTTGTTTAGTAAAGGGAAACAATTACGGTGCAGAGAAGTTAAGTGACTTATCCAAGGTCACACAGCCATTTACTTGTGAGTCAGAATACAGATCAGGTCTCTAAAACTCGTGAATGAGAATGTGCTCCTTCCTGCATCACCTTGTTTCTGCCAGGGAAACCTGGCACGGTTGGCTCTTCATGCTGGACCTGCCCCCAAACCCACGCAACCCTCCCAGGACCTCCACCCACCCAAATAGGAGCCCAATGACACCGAATGTCCGAGAGCTCATTTGCCAACAGGATGACCCTGGTGAGGCATCACTCCAGAACCAGGAGAGTCTGGGCAAGCAGCTCCCTGTGAATGGCACTGGCAGGCCAGGCCGTGGCTGCAGGAAGACCCTGCGGCTCTTTGAAGACACGCTAGCTGAAATGATAGCATCTCCACCCAAGGAGTAATTTATAGGCCATGATGCTACTTGGCAGGCATCATAATCTTTACCTATATTTGCATAGGCCAGCTGTGAATATGAAACGGAAACCTTTAAACAGGCATCAAGAATAAGACACTGCGAAGCATCCCCCAGGCTGTTCAAAGGTCACTAAATGTTATGGATAAGAAGATCAGAGGAGAAGTTGGAAGAGGAATGGAACCTCCCTCCAAAGCCTACTTTGAATTTATATTAATAGCGAATCAGGTCCTTTGCATTGTTCCTGCAGAGAAAAATGTGTAGGACTTCACATGTTTTATTTCTGCTCAAGAAATAAATGGGAATTGTGCCCAGACACCAAAATGGCCCTAAAACATCACATTCTGTCCTGTCATTTCTAGGCCATAATCTACAAAAGACATACACTGTTGTGTGTGTGTGTGGGGGGGGGAGCTCTTTGCATAACTAAGAAGTTCACTCAAATGTGTAGCAAAGGCAGCCTGACTTCTAGTCTGGGCCACATCATACCTTCAAGTTCTTTCTGGACTTGTGTTCATAGCCAGACTGCCCACAGTGGCCTCTGAGGGTTCTAAGGGCTGGGTAGGCCGCCTGCTGACTTAGTTCTGTGTGACTGGCACCAGGACCCCGCATCTTCCTCATTGCATGCACAGCCAGAGGCACCCACTGGCTGTAAGTCTTAGTCACTTCAGGTACCTGTTGGAAGTAGTGGTATAACGCCCACCACCATTAAATGATGGGAAAGAGGATTCCTCCACTACACTAGAAAAGTTTCCTACCTTAATAGATTTTCTTAAGTGGATTCTGGATCTGCATAGGCAGATCTCTGGTCCTCATTAGTCACTGAGTGTCCAACTGTGCACAGGATTATAGGCACACAACCAGGGAGACAGGCACAGGTCCAACTTCCCAGGCTCCTCCCCTCTGTCTGGGAGTGGCCGCGATCAGGTTCAATCTCACGGGAAGATGCGTTTAGACCAGTTCCAGGCCTGCAAAGTCTCTGCGCTCTTCTCCCCGCCAATGGCTATCTTGTTGGCCTCTATGGAAACGAAACGGTCACCTTCTGGCCTTGTCTCCCTGTAGCCCCATCGGCTTCACTAAACTTGGAGGCTGCAGCCCCAAACTCCTTTGCCTTGAGGACCATTCCGGTTGGGGTGATTGGGTGAAATGCTGAGTAACAGTAATACTGTGTAGCCAGGCGCTCCAGAGGCCCCGAGAGAACAGAATGCCTTCTCCCCTGTCAGACACCTTCGCGACCCACAGCACTGGGCACGCAGAGCCCGGCAGTCCACGCACGCAGGCCTTCAGCGCTCTGCTCGCAGTGTGTTCACACGGCCTCCCGCTGAGCGGAGCAGCCCCGGGTTCCACCTGCACCGAGCAGGGATGCAGGCAGGTCCGGGAGTCTGATCCGCGCAGACAGAACGCTGCCAGCTCCAGGCAGAGCTCTGACAGGCTCGATGCCAGGCGGCTCTCGGCGTTCACGAGCTGCGGAGGGAGGGGCAGAGCCTGGGCAGTTAGACGGGTGCAGGTCAGGCTGGTTGCCTGCTTGTCAGTCCTGTATGCATCCTGAACCCCGCCAGGGGCCCCTGAGGTCAGAAATCCACCTGTGCCGCTCCAGAGTCCACCTAAGAAACTCTGGCTCTTAAAGCCCATTTTAGAAGCCTGGGAATCCTGCTGTTTCCCCATTTTAAAGGCTTTTATCTTGAGCATTTAAAAAAGTATCATCAAGCTATCGCTGACTGCTAGTCAGGTATGATAAATGCTAACATCAAATTACAGGGTGCCCCCCCCCCAACTCTTGCAGAGTACTTACATACTTTAAATACTATCTCAGTTGATGAAAACTGAGACAGTCCCAGGACAGTTAAAAAACACCAAAACATTTCAGACCTTGTAATGCACAAGGTAAGGTGGAAACCGGGAGGGCCCCTTCTATCGTGGGGTTCTGAACCGGTGAAACCAAAAGCAGAATCACGGAAAGTGCTCAAGGTCACTCACGGCAGCCTGCCCGTCCACGGGATGTGCAAGGACACAGCCCCAGACGCGAACCCCTACAGCGTATGGCTTTAAAATATGATCGCTCTTAAAAAAGGAGAGAGGGGGAAGAGAAGAGAACAGATTCATTTTTCTAAAAGTCAATTCTAACCATTGTTACAGCCTGTTGAAAAATGAATTATTTAATCTCTTTTAGGAAAGAGTGTTTGCTCACAGCTAATTCACAGTTATATATGGTTCTGGGGGAAGATGCCCGACTCCCAGCTGGGGGAAACATCACCCCCAACACACAGAACAAGGTTTTCATCTTGCAAATGGAGAGACGGAAAGGATACCAGAGAAACCCGCCTCCAGTTAGCCACCTTGCTGTCCCTTCTGGAAAGCCAGGGAACCTGTTCTTCGGGCACTGCATAAGCCTGTCCAGCAGTTTCCTAAAATTGTCACTGGCAGTCGTCTGCAAGTCCAGGCACGTCACAGAATAGAATTTCCACGGCGCTGTAATTGCGGGGCCAGACCTCACCAGTCCCTGGCACTAGAGGGTTAATAAATGCATTAGATGCTGTTAACCTCTGTTACCTGGAGTCAGACTGCCGACTCCCTTGCTTTTTGCTCCTGTGATTAGCATTTGGAAAGCCTGCCAGGGTGCCAATGGCTTTCCTGTACAAAATGCACAGCCACACTTAATTTATAGCTCCCAGTCGAGCCCGCTCAACAGCCACTGCGCATGTACATGCAGTTCTGCCCACAGTAGGCCCTCCCCAGCCTCGGACTGTGGTCAGCTTGGAGCTGCACGCTTGCTGTTCGTGCAACCGGAGACTTAGAAGTGCACCCAGTTGGAACCTGGCGTTTGCGGCCCCAGGACTCCATTTCTGTAGAGAAGCCAGTGTTTAATCTCGGGTTTTTAGGCAGCTGTCAGCAGCAGGGTATGGAACATTTCTCCACTCTCTCCATGCAGAAGAAAAGCCAGTCTCTGCTCTACCTCCAGAAAATTAAACCAGAGGAAGCTGCCCAATCCAATAGCAACAGACTGTCCAGGCTGCAGCCAAATGGTCATAATTAATGACGCTTCTGGTTCTTTTCTCTCTTGCTTTACTGATTAGAGGGATTTGCTATATTAGGAACCTGTTTGCTTAATGACAGAATACAAGCAATAAACAGAGAAATACACAGACTGTAAAATGCAATCAACTTTGCTCTCCAGCACTCACTAAGTACCTGGCTGCATCTATCACACGTATCAATAGCCGTTTATTAGCATATGAATCTCTTCTGCAGCATAAATTGGACCTTTGCTAGGGAAAAATCATTGCACGAGTTCTTCCCGAAACAGTCCAGAACTCACAGCCATTTCTCAATTAAAATCTACCCACCTTACATTTTCCTGTAAGGCAAAACACGGGAAGAAGGATGTGCCCCTAATTCTGAAAGATAACGGAGCAGACTGACCTGCTTCAGAGTCTGC